AATTTAAATGAAATTTAGAGAAAACAAGAGAGTGAGGTCTTGGGGTCTAGAGGTCACTACTAAACATCACCATTCTAGACATTCAATGTACAATTAATGAGGGGAAACATGTGTTGCAATTTGAGAGTGTGTGATTGATTGTTTCAACAAGCATGGATGACCAATTTAGCATATATTGTCTAAGCAACCTAGTGAATAGCACAATACATCAAACTAAGCCATTAATCCTTCCTTTAAGCTCACAATCCAAACACTTCACATGGTTAGAGAATAATACTACTTGCATTTATAAGCATGGAACATTAAACAACAAGCATGAATTGTCCTCCCATTTAACAACTAAGGCAACTACACTACAACTAAGCTAAGGGCATGAAAATGAAACTAAAGAAATTAAGGGAGAGGCACAATCCATCAATACATGAGTATGTAAACCACAATAGTATTCTATTAAGCATTATGCCTTGACAATCTCTAAATCCATAGCATCAACACACATAGACATGCATCAATAGCACAAAAACTAGAGATAAACACATGAACATCTATTCTAGCATACATAGACATATGGATAAATGAAATGATCAATTAGAAGTATTAAACCACACAAATCATTGAATAAACAAGATTCATATATAAAATAAGTGTCAAGACAAGATTACAACATAAATCCCCTCAAAATACAAAGCATTAGAGTCTAAAAGGCATGGTTAGGGCTAACTTTAGCCCCAAGAAGATGTTTAGCCACTCATTGAAATAGTCATCCAACTCTCAAGGGCTATCTCCATGGTAGGAATGACCTCCTTCTTGATTAAAACCTTAGAAGAATGGAAGAACTCCTAAGAATGTATCTCTAGCCTCTCCTCCTCTCTTTTCTTCATCTCTAAGAATGTTTCTAAGTATTATAATATGATATGCAAAAATGGCTCAAAATCCTTATATAGGTAGGTCAAGTGTCACACCCAATGGTCTGGACTCGTGCACAAGGGCTCCTCTCAATTATTGCACCCTAAGCCAACTTTTAATGAGCTGGAACTTTTTTTTTTCAGACTTGAGGAGGTTCGATCAATCGAACTGTGTTGAGATCGATCGAGTGCTGCAGAGATCGATCATCCTTGGCGGCGCCTTTTTGAATAAAGACAAATCTATGAGATATTTTGGGATATTTTGGGTAAGAGACAAAAGTGGTAGGTAGGATAGTAGGTGTGGATAAGATCGAATATTTTCGATCGATCGAAGAAATGTTGGATCAATCGAACTTGGTGGATTCTTTTAGATAAGGACAAAGGCTTAGATCCATCTTGAAATGTCTAGATTGATGTTTCTTCGATCAAAAAAGTGATGTTGAGATCGATTGAACTTGCTGATTTCCATACTTTGCTTGATTCTGCTTCCACTTTGCCCCTTTCTTCCATCCAGCTTGAGTTAGCTTCTTTAATGCTCTTATTTGGCTGAATTAACTTATTTTTGGGAGAAGCACCTAAAAAGGGCAATAACATGAAATTAGTCTAAGACGAAAAAATAAGATAGATAAAGGTCTTATAATACCTAAGGTTAAGGGGTTTAATTGCGCATTTTTCAGCGCTCATCACTTTCCTTCCAAGTCCTTTGCACGAAATTTCCTTTATTTTCAAAAGGAATAGGACTTTACAAACCTCTATATAAACCATGTCATACACATAGGTTTATTTATGACTTTTGATCTACAAATTCATTAATCTTAAAAACCTTCGGAAGATTATTTTTGCAGAAAATCAGAATTGATTTTTCTGTTATCTTTCTAGAACACATACACATAAACCCATAATGAGTTTAGAGTTGTAGTGTTCAAATCCTGATCGTGATCATGCATCTACATCAATCAGACGAAAGCAGATCTTCTTCTACATCAAATTCAGACGATTGAAGAACAGAAGTAAAAACGATCGCACTTTGAAAGGTTGAGCATTCGAGGAGTGTTGTCTAATCTACCTACTACTCTTCTACAAATATCAAGTATAAGCCTGAGGTTAAGTTATTGTTGGACGGGGAGTTGCAAAGCCAGAGGATTGTTAGTAGTTGGTGTTTGGTAGAACGATAGGGTGTGAGCCAGAGTCAAAGTTTAGTGTACTTTATTTCAAGCATAGTGGATCGGTTTACGTTGAACTGCACAATCCACGAGGTTTTTCTTATACAAACAGTTGACATATTTTATCAACTGGGGTTTCCTCGCTAAAATCCTGGTGTCATCTCTAACTTTACTTTGCTTCATTTTATATTGCATGATATTGATTTATAAATTGTTAAAATAAAGAAAGTTGATAAAGACAGAGATCTATTTTTAAAATAATCAAAACTTTATAAGTATTTTTCGTTGCGTACAACTCACAAATTAGTATCAGAGCCAATCTCTACACATTGAGTTGATCCTTGTTCGAAAGTTTTGTTTTATTTTTCAAAAATTGTTTTCAAAATCATGTCTTATGCGTTGATAATCAACGTGGTCTTTTATTTAAAGAAGGTAATTACAATTTTTGGAAATCAAAGATGAGAGCCTATTTGCAAAATTCTAGTGATAAAACTTAGGCAATAGTTGAATCTGGCTATATACCACCTACAATAGATACAACTATGAATGGTAAAGTAATCAAAGAATTAAAAGATACTTTTTCTTTTACTACTGTTGAAACTGAGCGTAATGATGCTAATGGCAAAGCTTTATATGCAATTATTAATTATATTGTTCCATCTGAATATGCTAGAATTTCTGATTGTAAAACTGCTAAAGAAGCTTGGGATATTTTGCAAGTTACTCATGAAGGAACTTCAAAAGTGAAGTTATCCAAAATTCAGAAGCTTTCTCATAACTTTGGGAACATCGTGATGAAAAAAGATGAATCCTTTTCTGATTTTTATTCTAGTCTTCTTGAAATAATTTCTGAACTGCGTCACTTAGGTAAAAAAGTTAGTGATAAGAAAATCTGTGAGAAAATCTTAAGGTCTTTACCTAAAAGATTCCAGATTAGAGTTGAAACCATCACTGAATATCGAGATTTGACTACCTATAAAGTTGATGAGATGGTAGGTTCATTGAAAACTTTTGAGATGTAGAACTTTAATTTAAATCAGAATGAGAAAAATTTTGCTTTAAAATCTATACAGGTTAAGAATTTTGTAGATGATAACTCCGATGATGATCTAGCATTTTTGTCAAGGCAATTCAATCAGATTTTCCAAAGACAACAGAGGAGAAGGACTAGCAACAGGGCTAATCCTCAAAATTTTGACAAGACGTCAAAGTTTAGGTTTAATGAAAAGAAAGTAGAAGAATCAAAAGAAACTTAATTCACTTGCTGGAATTGTGGTGGTAAAGGTCACGCATCCAATGTTTGTCCTATTCCTAGGAAAAAACAAAAAGATAGGAATAAAGGAAAAGTAATGAAAGTTTCTATGTCTGAAAATTCTACTTTAAGTAATAATAATTCTCCTCAGGATGATACTAATGATTTTTCTTATGTCGTTTTTCTTGATAGAGGTCTTCGTGTTGTTACTTTATCTGACTTTGATATTTCAGATAATGAAGACAGTGAAGTTTATGATGAACAGGTGGAAGAAGATGAAAAGGATGATGAAAGATTGAAAAAGATGGTCAAAGAAACCTTGGAAGTTAAACAAGTAATCAATAAGCTAGCAAATGAGCTTATCCAAGCAAAAGGAGAGAATAAAGATCTAAGGAAACAGATTGTTGATAGCAAGAGGGAAGCTTTTGAAAACAATTCTGTCATCATTGAGCTTGAGAAACAGATTATCATTCTTGAGGATAAGGTAAGTTTTGCTAACTCATTGAAGGAATGTCTTGCTTTGAAAAATGATTATCTTGAAATTGAATTGAAATCTGAACAAGATAAACTAAAAGGGTTCAATATGAGTCAAAACAGTTTGAATAAGATAATCAACATCGGTAAGGATGTGAATGATAAAATAGGGTTAGGATTTGTTAAAGGTTCTTCTAGTAATCAAGGTAAAACAACTTTTGTTAAACCTACTGTTATGTCTAAACCATGTTTACCTGATGCATCACATTCTGATATATCTTATGTACCTAAATTGTTGCATTGCACTTTTTGTGGAAGGAATGGACATAAGTATAACTCATGCCTTCACAGGAAAAAGAAAGACTTTTCTAAAATTCATTCTCAAAATTCTCATGTTAAGAAAAATGTGCATTCTAGGAAGAAAAAGAATGTTGTGACACCTAAGATTTCTAGAGCTGAAAATTTGCCTAAGAAAGAGGTAAATAAAGATAGAGAATTTCAAGAAATGAGATTGAGAACTGTGTGGATTAAAAAATCCGATTTGATCAATTATGTGCCTGTTGAGTCCATGGAACGAGTTTCCAAAAAGACTTCATCTTCAAACTGAGTCCTAAGAAATTTAGTGATCATGGCTTGTGTTTTAAAAGAAAATTTTGTTACCAATGGATCACTTGTTAGGGTTTGGTTAGGGTTTTGAGTTTCTAATTATAGTATTCATGATATATCTAAGAAAATTCTTCCACTGAATTTATAATCAATCTTTGAATGTAAATTTGGACACATGATTTGTAACGACCCGGATTTCTCAACCCGGTGCGTTTGTGATGAACCGGAAGTTGACCCGATAACGGACCCGAAATGCGGAAGCGAAAGAAGCCAATTGACCTCAAGAGATGTATGTCATCCCTAAGACTCCAAAGTGACTCTCCATGAAGTCACAGAACTCAAATGAGTCAAGCAAATGAAGCAAGAATGCCTAACCCGAAAAGAGATGAACTAAGGGCAAAATGCTCATTTCTCACTGAAAAGGGTGCTACCGTGCACACCATTGGAAGGAAAATGAAAAATGAACAAAATTAGACTCAAGAATCGTCTGATTCTGAGTCCGGGCAGAAAAGATATGAAATTCCAACACCCGATGCGAAAGTTATGAAGCAATTACTTAACATTTTCCAATATTTTCATAATAAACTTTGAAAACAAAAGTGCATAGAAAACGAGATACATGTCATTGACCTCCGGCCTCATCTCATACATGTTAAATACATTGAAAAGAGTGCACTTACGTACACTTTACATATACGAATCAACGAATACAAGTTTAAACAAATAGGGCTACAAAGATGCATCTTATGCTAACACTTGCATAAAATAAAAACATAGAAATTGTAAGCCATCCAAGGAGCAATGGAATCTTCAAATCCTGAGTCCTATACCTGAAATATGCCCCAGTATCGTAGGGGTGAGTAACATAAAGCTACTCGTAGGAGATGAGCATGCATCGACCTAAAATTTTACAATTTTATCACCTTATGATGAAACATGTTAAAGGGGCTCATGCCACCTAACGTCTATATCAAGATGAGACCCAGGGAGCATCCTAAGCTACCTAGATCATTTCTATCATATCACATTGTTCATGCAATTCAAACAACATGGAAACATGTTATACAAGGCAACAAGATATAGATTCTCAAAGTCTTCAACTTAAAATCCAAAATTACGAAAACAACAAGTGTGGGTCATGCCATCTAACGTCTATGTTCAAAATGAATCTATAAGGTCATTCATAAACTACATTTGAACATCAAAACATAAATTATGATATCGATGTAATTTAACTAACAATGGAACTTCCAATACAACGCATGAAGCATGCTTTCACAAAGTTACATCTTAAGCGCAAAATAGGAAATCAAATAAGGAACAACAAGTTACGATATCATCTAGTTATCAACTTGAAATGAAATACGAAATCAAATAAAATGGATATTCGGACGCCACGCCGGATCAGACCGACAACATAGTTACTTTAGGGTTACTAGCCCATGGGTAATCTCCCTATGTGCGTACTAGACTATATAGAGGGACAATCCCCCGTACTAGAACCAAGTCCTAGCGGTAGCCAAACAACGATATCCCCAAGTTTCCAAAATCAACAAATTGTGCAACAACGTATATATATCAACATGTATATACAAGATATCAACTATTTACCAAGCACAATCCAAATTTTGGAAACTTATACAATACATACTCAAAATTCACAACTACAATTGCATGTAAGATGTCAAATACAAAGTGTGCAATTCCTTACACATAGCAACAATATATTCAATAAATAAAAACATATTCTCATGAATAGAAAAGTAACAACTATGTTATCCAATACTCAAAAGTAATCAAGTGAACATACATCAAATCCAAATCTATGATTTAAATATAGAAATAACTTCCAAAATGCAATTAAATCCATGGAGTAATAAAGTAGAATTTAATTAAACATAAATAGTTAAATTCTCTAAATTCCAAGTTAATCCAAATAACCTCAATTTAATATATATTGAAAGACATGTCATGGTCATTATATTTATAATATCAAATGACAAGTTAAGTGATTAAAATACTTAAAACAAAATTAATCAAGCTAATTAATTAATTTCCTCTAGATTTTTAAACAATTCCAAATGCCCTGAATTTAATCTATGTTAGAGAACATGCCAAGACCTATTTAAATACCACATTACAACTTGATTTAATGCTTGATACAACCATGTGAATTAAACTTTCACTAAAGATAAATATTAAATAAAAGTTGTAATTCTTAATCAAATGATCCAAATGTAATATATGTTAACCAATACATCTAAGCATAATTTCCTAGCATGTTACAATTCAAATCAAAGTTATACATTATCATAAACTTTAAATCTTATACAAAGAAATAAAAATTACTAACTTTTTAGATTTGATACAAGGCATACATATATGTTGTATAATCATGGCAAACACACAATACAATACACAAATAATCCTAAAATATCCCCTGCCTCAATTGGAATGAAAATCCCAATTACCACCGAAATGAATTGCCCCAAATTTTCGGTCCGCAAAACAGATTTTTCAGCTTGCTACCTTCAACTTGTAAAATTCATAAAAAATTCAATGCTAACCCAAATTGAATGAATCCAAAGCCCAATGAAAGCTTAAACACTTTAATTTGATAATATCAATTTAGTTTAACAAAATATTTTCCCAATTAAAAAGTTTTGCCCTACAACTTTGAAACAAATTCTGCCCAAAAAACACATTTTCAGCCTGTAGCTTCCAACTTTGAAAATTCATGAAAAATTCATTTGACATCCAAATTGGGCAAACCTAATTTACTTTGGAAGTAAACATATGAGAGTGTAAAACTGAAAATTTAAGCCATGATCCAATGTCAAAAGGTTAGTGAAATAAATCATCTAAAAATATGTTTTCCAGCTGCAATAAAAACATGGACAGCAGATAGTTTCGGATTTTTAAAAAAATTTAGAAATGCTCTAAAATCGTGAAAAAATTTTGAGTTGTGTAAAACCCATGGGGGAAGTTTCAGTAAAAATTTCAAGGCAATTGAAGTAACACAACTCCATATAAAAAATTCATTTCCGAACCAAAAAGGAAAAGCTTCAAATTTTCAACAACTAGCTTGCAACTTCAAAAATTCATAACTAATTCATTTTAAATCCAAATTGCATGAAACCAAAACTAAATGAAAGCTAATTGAGTATATTTTCATATTCTATATTTAATTTGACAAGATTAATTTCAAGTTAAAACAGTTTAAGGGAAAAATACAGTCCTTCTCTTCCATGCATGTAAAACACTCAATAATGACATAAAAATACTTCAAAATAATAGATCAATACCTCACTAGAAAATTGAACCTCTAGACACCAAAGCAAAACTAGGAGTTAGGCTAGATCCTTCAAGGGTTTTGAAGAGGAAGATGAGGGGAACAAAAAGTATTCCAAGTTCAAAGTTCTAGGGTGAGTGAAAGGGCACCAAAAATGAAGTCAAAGCTACTAGTCAAGCTTTTCTCCAATGGTGGCTTCCTTAGGGTTCTTGAGAGGAAAGTGATGAATGAATTAAAATGTGTAAACCCTAAGCTAAATTGGTGGGCTTCTCCACTCACTAGGTGCTCTTGCACTACCTCTTACACACACACTAATGCAAGACTAAAGGTGAGTCCTACACTTGTCATGAATCCAAGTAAGCTTCCAAGATTAAATATTAACCCTACACTTGTCAACCATCCATGCCAACAAGTGCACCAATCCTAGGACAACAAGTGGGTGAATCTCCAATCTCCATGTGTTATGAGATTAAACCTCCAAGTGGTTCCACCACAAAATCAACAAGTGGCACCATAGGAATGTGACACTTGTCACATTTTTCGAAAATTGCAAAAAGGTCCTTTTTGAAAATATCTTCCAATTTAATTTGTAAAATAGTCCCTAAGACGAAAAATAATTACTTTACTTAATTACCCAAAAACCCCTCAAGTTATGGATAATTGCAAAAAGTCTTGTTTTCATGACTTTTACAAAGAAAGTAAGGATTTAATATGCATTTCTACAAAAATAAAAATGTAGATGTCATGGAATTTAAATTTCATGAATGTATGCAAAACCGAAATCAAATCCGAGCACAAAAAATGAGGTTATGTAAGTAAAAGTGAAAAACGAGAAGAGGACGAAATAAGAAAAAGACGAAAAATGAATAGTGTCAAAAAACAAAAAAATGTGGAAATGACTCGGTCCTCAAAGGAAGTTGTCAATCCAAAGGAAAGAGTCTCAGAAACCATTTCCGAGCACTCGAGACGATACTAAGAGGCGAGAAATCGAACCCGAAAAGGAAAAGATAATTAAAAAAAAAAAAAATTTATCCGCAAAATTTGAAGAAAAAGGGAAAAGGAAGAAAATGACCGGGTCATTACATGATTTTTTATTAAAAATAGATTATTGGTTTGTAATTTATACAATGAAAGTTGATTTGCATTGATTAAGGGATTTTTAGATTTGAATCTCTTAAGTTCATAACCTTTTGTGCACTAGTCCAAATCTGAAAAATTTGATTGAAAATCTTTGAATTGTTGACTAGAGTATATTGATCACAAAAGTTATAAAGGTCATTGTCTGAAAAAAAAAAAAAAAAAAAAAAAAAAAAAGAGTTTGAAAAAAATGAATAAATTCAGCTTGAAAAAGAAAAGAAAAAATTTGAAAAATGCTGAATTCTTTGTTTAGGAAAAGGCTACCTATTGAAATGTGTTCAAAAGTTCCCATTAAACTTTGAAGTGGAGCTAAATGAGTAAAAAGAAATGTGGAAACAAGTTGAATTAGGGAATTGTTGTCTACTCTTTAGAGTGAAGCCACTTTACTTAGAAAAATTGCTCAAAGACAATTTTATTTTGATATTTTTCGATCAATATGGTTTGGACAATGATTTATTGATAATTGATTGAAAATTGATGAGATGGATTGCACACACACACTTGAATTTGCTAGATTGATTTCTAAATATTTCATTAAAATTTGCAAGTTAAAATTCGTGTTATGATTATTTCCTGAGAATTGAAATTGATTGAATATTCTGTGGAGTTAAAATTTTCATTCATAGATATCTCTGACAGTTTTCTAGAAATTTGGAACATGTGTAGACTTGAATGACTTTGATTGACTGCATAATGATTTGTTCTTAATTTTGTTTTAAAAAATTTTTGGAAAAACTGTAAAATTCAAAAAGATTTTTGATTTTAGTTTAAAGATTTTTTTTTGATTTGATCATTGAGTGTTTCAAAAAGTCTGTTAGAAAAATTTTTTGGAAAAATTTTAAGTCTAAAAATTTCAAGTCTGCCATGTGCCTACCGGTTCACAGATCCCCAACCAGTTCAAGATACCAAGTGGTAAGGCCATACCTTACTAGAGCTTGGCTACTGGTACCACAAGTTTGGTACCGGTTCCTGGCAGCGTGCATAGACATAAAAGAAACCTATTTTGCTTTTTGTTAGGCATTGGTGTATACTCTCTCTCTCTATACATATCCTCTCTCTATATTCCACCAAGCATATATACATATATATCTTTATATATTGTTTCATCTTGCATCATTCTCATCATATATTGCAAGTTGAACATGGAATCATTCATTTGATCTTGAGATTTGAAGATTGAAGGAAGTTGAAGGTTGAGATTGAGGAGTTTGGGTTTGAAAGAAATATTAGAGGATTTCATTGAGATTTTGTTGAAGATTCTTGGGGGTTTGACATTAAAGGAATTGGGGTTTGATATTGTGCTCATCTGTGCTTGATTCTTTGTTGATTGTTGTGATACCCCTCGATTCTAGAGCCACAAGTAATCAAGTCCGAGCACAGATCTGAGGGATACCAAACAATTAAGTATATAAACAAGCATTTGAATACAAAAAGAATTAAATAATAAATAATAAATAAGCTGAAAGATATCTAAAATAGTAATCTTTAAAAATACTAATTAAATAATCTAATATTTTTAAAACCTCTAATATTATTACAACTTGGGAATCCATCTAGTAGATCCCTAGTAATATCCCAATTGGAAATAATTAACTGAACTGAAAGAAAATCCAAAACTAAAACATGAAGAAGAGTCCTACGTAGTCGGAAGAGTGAATGACTGTCTTCGCTCGGCACGAACAATCTCTAAGTTTGAAACTGTCGAACATTTAGAAAAAAATAGTGGGTTAGGCCCACGAGTAAGTTCTACTCTACTACAATCCAAACAGAGACCCGATATACATGTACATCCTAGACAACTTAACAATAACTATATAGTCCATATGTGTGTGTGTGTGTATATATATATATATACACACACACACACACACTAAGGGACTCTCACAGGACTACAAGGCGGTCTTAACCTGACTAGAAGACAGCATGCAAAATGCACCTGAAGTGGGCATGAGTACCTAAACCTAACAGGATACACCTCTACCATCATAGCCAGTTATGCATTCCATTGCATATGCACTCCCTAACCATCGATTCTGAGAATCAAGCTCATATCGTAGTACCATAATCATATATATAAAATCCATCCAAAACCAAGGTATGTCATTCAATTGTTTATTGACCTGACACGAATATAAGTAGAATTTATCATTGTATTAAATTCGCTCCCTTATATCAGAATAGGTAGGACTTAGCGTTTTGAGCTAATCTGTCCCTAATATGCCACCATCCCATACCGGTGCATATAATTCACAAATCTAATAATTGATGAAACAAATAATGAATTTAAAACATCAATTAAATCCACAATAAGCATAATAAAATATGTAAATTAACATGATCATATTATTCCGATGATACATGATTAAAAACTGTATAATCATACATAGAAAGTTGTTAGTGTGGAGGTAAGTATAATCCAATCCAAATAACAATATGCAAATTTATTTAAAATCTCATATTGTTCAAGTTCTAAGCATAATAACGTAGATTAATCTTTCTGGAAGTTTAACATGCTCATTTAAAACATTTAACACCCCCATGAAAGTCCAAAGTAGCATTCCAGCCTTGGAAAATCCCCAAAAAACCATAAACACTACACTGCCAGCAAGGGAGTCGGTGTGATACCCCCGAATTTCTGAATGCGGGTTGGCCAGGCCCACGCCCGAATACCCAAGGATATCAAAACAAATTGATAATAAACGAACACAGAGTACAAAAAAATAAAGAAGAATAAATAAAATACTGACAAGAAACTAAAATGATAATCTAATAATAAACCTCATAATATATTTCTATTAATTAATAAACTCTTCTGATACAACTGATCCTCCAAAATACAACTCGGGAATCCATACTGTGTGGACCCATAAAAAATCCAAACTAAACAAATGACAGTAATCTAAAACAGGAAACTGAATCATAAAGGAACTCCTTTGTAGCATCGGAAGAATGAAGTAGACTGATCCCCGCTCAGCACGAACAACCTCTACTCGTGATGAGCACCTGAAAAATAATGGTGGGTCAGGCCCACAAACAAGTTCTACTCTATTACAGTCCAAGCAGAGATCCGATACACGTATACATCCTAATCAATCCAACAGTAACTAGTAGTCCGTATATATATATATATATACACACTAAAGGAACCTCACTAGACTATAGGGTTGTCTCAACCTGAATAGTAGGCAACATGTAAAACGCACATATAGTGGGCATGAGTACCTAGACCTACCAGGGTACACAACTACACTATATCTAGCTACACATCCCTGATGATATACGCGCCCTAACCATTGATCCTGAGACTCAAGCTCATATCATGGCACCATACTTATATATATATAATCTAGTAACTATCCTATCCAGTATAAATTAATCCTCCATAAGTCATTCAACTTGTTCAGCTGACCTGACTTGAATATAAGTAGGACTTAACATTTTAGTTAATCAATTCCCTTATATAATAAATTAATCTTCCATAAGTCATTCAACTTGTTCAGCTGACCTGACTTAAATATAAGTAGGACTTAACATTTTAGTTAATCCATTCCTTTATATAAAATAGGTAGGACTTAACTGATAAGTTAATCTATCCCTAAAATGCCACCGTCCCATACCGATGCATTAAACTACACAATCCAACAATTGATGTAACAATTAAGGAAATACATCAAACATTCCATAAATAACTATGATAAATATGATATCAAGTTATCACATAATAGGAATGACTTATTATTTCTTTAAACTTCCTATATCATATGTCCTACACAAACTGAATCTTATATATGATGATATTTTATTATACCGTTAAATAAGGATTCTCTATATCCAATTCATCCTACACATTTAATCTCAATTGCTAAAATATTTTAAAAGATTAAATCCATTCGTTTGTTTAAAACATTCAAATAGCAAACATCATTATGATTGAGTCTATTTAAATTTATTAAAACCCAAACCTAGTCCCTATTTAATGTTCAGGAATCCTAGGCATGTTTCTACGTTCCATCATTCCACAGATATGAAAAATATATAATTTAAACATGTAAAAATTCACATAAGAAATCAAATCAAAATCATGCATTTTATCAATTCATAACACAAGAACAGATATGAACCAATTTCATAAAACATGTGTTCTAACCCAATTAAAC